TTAAAAAGCTAGAGAGGACCAAAAACACCTTCACAAAAACATCCAGAGTAATGTTCAACCAAATTTACAGCTGGCACTGTAGGCCAGCCAGATTGCCACAAAATTAACTTTATAGTCACTCATCATTTAAGTCAGATTAGACTGTGAAATCCTGCACAGGCGTCAACATCACTTGATTAAAACTTGCAATTCTGAGGTTAAAATGAGTAAACATAGTTCCATTTAACTCTAAAGATCTTTGAGCTTGCATGAATCCTACCTGAATTCTTCTCATATACTATCAATATTGCTTGTCATTAAGTCCCATAAAACTCTTTTTGTCAATGTGTAAATTTTATTTCTGAACTTGACATCACTTATGTATATTTTCCATGTTACTCGTTCCCACAGGAGTACTTCATTCTTCGATGCATAATATTCTTTGCATGAATGTACCTTAGTATATTTAACTTATTGTAATTGATTGATATTCATTTTTCTATCACAAATAATTATGCAATAAATATCTTACATTTGATTTCTTGTGCATAAGTATAAATGTTTCTATAAGTTAAATGCTGAGAAATAGATTTGCTGAGTCTTAGAGTATGCATATATTCAATTTTAATCGATTGCTACACTCCCTAATTGTCCTCCAAAGTGGCTATACTTTGTAACACAACAGGAGTATGAAAATACCTTTCCTTCTAATCCTCACCAATCAATTGACATTATAAGACATTTTATTTTTTGCCTATTATAAAAATAAGGGGATTTTGTTTTCCTTTTTATTTGTATTCTTTTGAATCTTCCTGAGGCCAAGTATCTTTTTGGAAATTCATCTGTCATTGTAATTTGTCTGCAACTTGGCTTTCTTATGTTTATGGAATGAGTCTGTTTCTGGAATGTTTATTTTTAAAAAATTGATCTGATTTTCATATTATGCCAATAATGCTATTTAAATCACTATAGATTTATAATACAATTGGATATTGTGTTGTAGTTTGTGTTTAATCTCTAAGTCATGCCCAGCTTTTTGGGACCCCGTGGACTGTGACCCACCAGGCTACTCTGTCCCTGGGATTTCCAGGCAAGAATACTGGAGTGGGTTGCCATTCCCTTCTTCATGGGATCTTCCCCATCCAGGAATCAAACCCATGTTTCCTGCCTTGCAGGCAGATTCTTTACCACTGAGCCACCAGGGAAGACAGATTCTTAAAATTCTTGAATTTCTTAAATTAAAGAATTTAATTTCTTAAAATTCTTAAATTTCTCAAATTAAAATTCTTAAATTCTTTTAACCTTTCTTAAAAATATATGATTTTTTCCCATTAAGATTGTACACATTAATACTTGGATTTATTCCTAGATAATTTAGAGATCCTGTGGTATCATAAATGTATTGTTTTCCTGGGACTGCCATAAAAAATAACCTTAAACTCAGTGGCTTAAGCACAAGTAATTTATTCTCTTATCGTTCTGGAGGCTAAAAGTTCAAATCAAGCTGTAGGCAGGGCTACACACCCTCCAAAGTTCTAAAAGAAGATTCTTTCTTGCTTCTTCCAGTCTCTGCTGTCCCTTGGCAGTCCTTGCTTTGTGGCATCATAACTTGCATCTCTGCCTGCATCTTCCTGTGGCTTCCTTTTGTCTCAAAAATCTTCCTCTCCTTTTTCTTATGAAGACATCAGTCATTGAATTTAGGACTCATTTCTTTAAATTTTTGAACTTGGGGATGATTTTGTTTACTTAATTTTTTAAATTTTTTTTTTATTTTTATTTTTTTTTTAAGTTCAAGTTTTTATTAATAATCTTAGAACAAATATGTTAACAATTCCTCAGTTATATAGCATTTTTACAATTCTGAAAGAACTTTGACATATACCAATTAAACCCTCACAACATCCCTGTGAGGTAGACAGGGTTGGTGTCAGTTTCCTATTACTAGTGAGAACAAGGCTCATGGGTGAAATAAGGTCACACAGTTGGTTAGTGATGGAGCCAGGACTAGAACCTAGGCCTTTGACATGCTGCCTCCCTGAGAACATTCAAGTAATGACATCCTATGCTACATAATGAACATTTCTCCTATGATGATCAGATCTATTTTTATAAGTTTGATATCACCTTTTCCTATTATCCAAAATCACTGAATCACAGTTTTGATGAGACATTTCTTCCATGTTACTGGACTATTTTTCTTTGATGTATCAAGCACCATCCTAAGATGAAACTTAACCTGCGTCTTAAGTTTTGAGGATCTTTGGCTATAAGTTCTAAATTGTGATATGAAAGTTTATTTTAGAAGTTTTACAAAAGTATTCGCATGTTGAATATGTCAACTTACTTAACAAAAACAACACAAGCCTGTTTATGTTTTTGAAAGCAAATGTTTTCTTCCTTTTTTTATTTTTAGAAACTTTTTATTTTGTATTAAGGTATAGCCCATTAACAATGTTGTGATAGTTTCAGGAGGACAGCAAAGGGACTCAGCCACACATACTACATACACATGTATCCATTACACTCCACAAACTTCCCTCCCATCCAGACTGCCACATCACATTGAGCAAGTTCCATGTGCTATATACTAGGTCCTTGTTGGTTATCCATTTTATTTATTTTTCTCCATGGTGTTCAAGCATTTATGTATATATATATATTTTCCATTTATTTTTATTCATTGGGGGCTAATTACTTTACAATATTGTAGTGGTTTTTGCCATACATTGACATGAATCAGTCATGGATTTACATGTGTTCACCATCCCGATCCCGTCTCCCGCCTCCCGCCTCCCTTTCCATCCCATCCCTCTGGGTCTTCCCAGTGCACCAGCCCCGAGCACCCGTCTCATGCATCCAACCTGGGCTGGTGATCTGTTTCACCCTTGATAGTATACTTGTTTCAATGCTGTTCTCTCTGAACATCCCACCCTCACCTTCTCCCACAGAGTCTAAAAGTCTGTTCTGTACATCTGTTTCTTTTTTCTGTTTTGCATATAGTGGCTGTACTAGTTTGCATTCCCACCAACAGTGTAAGAGAGTTCCCTTTTCTCCACACCCTCTCTAGCATTTATTGCTTTTAGACTTTTGGATAGCAGCCCATTCTGACGGGCGTGTAATAGTACCTCATTGAGGTTTTGATTTGCATTTCTCTGATAATGAGTGATGTTAAGCATCTTTTCATGTGTTTGTTAGCCATCTGTATGTCTTCTTTGGAGAAATGTCTGTTTAGATCTTTGGCCCATTTTTAGATTGGGTCATTTATTTTTCTGGAATTGAGCTGCAGGAGTTGCTTGTATATTTTTGAGTTTAATCCTTTGTCTATTTCTTCATTGGCTATTATTTTCTCCCATTCTGAAGGCTGTCTTTTCACCTTGCTTATAGTTTCCTTTGTTGTGCCAAAGCTTTTAGTACATCCACTATGGAAAACAGTGTGGAGATACCTTAAAAAACTGAAAATAGAACTGCCATATGACCCAGCAATCCCACTCCTGGGCATACACACCAAGGAAACCAGATTGGAAAGAGACACATGTACCCCAGTGTTCATCGCAGCACTGTTTATAATAGCCAGGACATGAAAGCAACCTAGATGCCTGTCAGCAGACGAATGGATAAGAAAGCTGTGGTACATATACACAATGGAATATTACTCGGCCATTAAAAAGAATACATTTGAATCAGTTCTAATGAGATGGATAAAACTGGAGCCCATTATACAGAGTGAAGTAAGCTAGAAAGATAAATATCAATACAGTATACTAACGCATATATATGGAATTTATAAAGATGGTAACGATAACCCTATATGCAAGACAGAAAAAGAGACACAGATGTATAGAACAGACTTTTGGACTCTATGGGAGAAGGCGAGGGTGGGATGATCTGAGAGAACAGCATCAAAACATGTATATTATCAAGTGTGAAACAGATCACCAGCCCAGGTTGGGTGCATGAGACAGGGTGCTCAGGGCTGGTGTACTGGGAAGACCCAGAGGGATGGGATGGGGAAGGAGGTGGGAGGGGGGGTCAGGATGGGGAACACATGTAAATCCATGGCTGATTCATGTCAATGTATGGCAAAAACCACTACAATATTGTAAAGTAATTAGCCTCCAACTAATAAAAAATAAATGGAAAAAAAATGAAGCAAGGCAAAGGCTAACAGAGTTTTGTCTAGAGAACACCCTAGTCATAGCAAATACCGTTTCCCAATGACACAAGAGACAACTCTACACATGGCCATCACCAAATGGTCAATACTGAAATCAGACTGATTGTATTCTTTGAAACCTCAGATGGAGGAACTCTATATAAGTCAGAAAAAAAAACAAGACCTGCAGCTGACTGTGGCTCAGATCATGAACTCCTTATTGCAAAATTCAGGCTTAAATTGAAGTAAGTAGGGAAAACCACTAGGTCGTTCAGTTATGACCCAAATCAGATCCTTTATTATTTTACAGTGGAGGTGAAAAATAGATTCAAGGAATTAGATCTGGTAGACAGAGTGCCTGAAAAACTATGGAAAGAGGTTCATAACATTATACAGGAGTCAGTGACCAGAACCCTTCCAAAGAAAAAGAAATGTAAGAAGACAAAGTGGTTGTCTGAGGATGCTTTACACATAGCTGAGGAAAGGAGAAGTGAAGAGGAAGGGAAGATAAATCCAATTTATCTCAAGATTCTTAACTAATTAGATCTGCAAAGACTGTTTCCATACAGTCATATTCTGAGGTTTTAAGTGGATATGAATTTTAAGGGAGATACTATTCAACCACTACAAATAGGAACTTACTTTTTTCCAATGTATTTTTTCATTGGTTACTGAGGAAATAGAGGAAAGATATTAATTTATTGCATGTCGATCATATGTGTAGGATCCCTTGCTGAAAATCCATGAAAATATTTTGCCAGTTTCTTCTTGGAGTCACTCTAATTTTCTGAGTGACCAATATTATTGACTGCAGAAAGTTCAATTTTAAATCTTTCCTTCAAAATTCCCCGCCAAGGTGGCTGACCTAGTGGGGTTCGGGGTCCAGCGCTAGGTCGAAAGTGTTCCCTGCAGCTATCGTGGTTCGTCTGCTAAACTGCATCGTCGCTGTGTCCCAGAACATGAGCATCGGCAAGAACGGGAACCTGCCCTAGCCTCCACTCAGAAATGAATTCAGGTATTTCCAAAGAATGACTACAGTGTCTTCAGTAGAAGGTAGACAGAATTCGGTGATTATGGGTAGGAAGACCTGGTTCTCCATTCCAGAGAAGAATCGACCTTTAAAGGACAGAATTAGTATAGTTCTCAGTAGAGAACTCAAGGAACCTCCAAAGGGAGCTCATTTTCTTGCCAAAAGTCTGGATGATGCCTTAGAACTTATTGAAGATCCAGAATTAACAAATAAAGTAGACGTGGTTTGGATAGTGGGAGGCAGTTCTGTTTATAAGGAAGCCATGAACAAGCCAGGCCATCTTAGACTATTTGTGACAAGGATCATGCAAGAATTTGAAAGTGATACGTTTTCCCCAGAAATTGATTTTGAAAAATATAAACTTCTTCCAGAATACCCAGGTGTTCCCCTTGGATGTCCAGGAGGAAAAAGGCATTAAGTACAAATTTGAAGTATATGAAAAGAACAATTAATGTGAAAATGTTTTCCGATCTATTAGAAGCCTTTCTCCCCCCCCAAAAAACTATATATTTCTTGTTGTAGAGACTTTGTTCACTTTAGATCTATTACTTCTAATCAATGTACTTTTATTCGCTATTAATCTTTTTTTTATTAATTATTATTGGAGTATACTTGCTTTACAATCTTGTTAGTTTCTGTTGTAGAGCAAAGTGAATAAGCTATACATATACATATATCCCCTCTTTTTTGGATTTCCTTACCTTCGATCACCACAGAGCATTGTGTAGAGTTCCCTGTGCGATAATAGGTTCTCATGAGTTCCCTGCTTTTTACATAGTTGTATATTCCCCATTAATCCTAACTAGACTGTATCGGATACCATTTGTAAAACATTTCTTGCTGTAACCGTCTGAATTCCCACTAAGGGGCAGGAGTAGATTACCAGCACCACCTCGGGTAGAATAATATATCTATCAAGACAGCCCGAAGTGGGAGAGTCCCCTGGTGGCAAGAGCTGAAACCAGAGCCTGCAGAGCTAGGGGGTAAGTCCAAAGGTCAGAAATGGGCCATAGACAGAAAAACTAGCATTCAGTTATTAAATTAGATCAAAAGAGGGACTAAGAATTACTTCATGTAGATCACACTACTGAAAAAAATTCTGTTCGCTCAGACCATTCCACGAGGATAGTGATGAACAGGTACAACACTACCTTTTGATGGTTAAGAGAACATCTGAGACCTTTAAAAACTTTATTTCTGAACTTCAGTGAGATTTCACAGGATGTTACAATGATAGAACAAGAATTGGCTGCTCTTTACAAAAAAGGATAATCTAAAATCAAGCATAATAGCTAAAATTTTAAAAGGTAATAAATTGAGAATAAATATTGCTAGAAACCAAAATTAGTAAGTTAGAAACTAAACATCACAGAATTTAAAAATGAAGACTAAACCATGTTTTACCCATCTTGTTAGCAAAGATTTAGATTACTACTATAAAAAAATAGTATATTCTGCCTTATAAATTGGTGCAACCTTTTTAGTGTGTAAGTTAGCAATATCAATTAAAATTCAAAATATTCTGGGTTTGGACCCAGGACTTCCACTTCTAAAAATTATTCCTGAACAAAGAGATGGGCCCAAGAATATTTGTTGCAGCAGTTAAAAAAAAGGATGACTGAAAAATGCCAAAAACTGCTAAGAAGCAACTTATGTATCAACTCAAAATGTTTAATAAATGTTAATGTGTGGGGAAAAAGCATGTGGCAAACTAACTAACTAAATAAATAAATCTTTCCTTCCACCATTTATACTCTGTTTTGTCTATCTCTTTCCTTGTTTAGGACTTGTAATAAAATCTTGAATACTTTCAATTTATTCAAATCTTCTTTTATGTCTTTTAATAATGTTTCATAATTTCTCCACAAGGGTCTTACACATCTTAAAAATCAATTTTGTGTCTAAATGCTTTATGATTTTGATACATATGTGAAAAAGTCCTTTTAAAAATAGTGTTTCATACTTTGTTTTTAGTGATATATAGAAATATTTTAAAAATTGATCTTACATTTTATGCCATACTGAATTTTCTTCATGCTTCTCAGAAGTTATTGGTTTATTGCTCTGGATTTACTAGTAGAAAATAATACTTTAGGCAAATAAAAAGTTTTTTCCCTCCCTTACCACCAGTATTTATATTTTATTCCTTTTGGAGGCGGGTATTATCTAAGCCCTCCAAGATGCACTGAATATGAGTTAAAAATGAAGAAATGACTTTATCTAAGATGTTTCTAAAATTCTGTCATTACATATGCTTTAGGTTTTTGATAGATACCTTCCTACACATTTAAGAAGCTTAGAAGTCGCTTCATCTTAAAAAGTAAAAATATGAACAAACTAAAAAACTACAAACTCTATTTAGATCCATCAGAGAAATGTAGCCACCAGGCATATTGCTGCCTCCCAAATTGAATAGACAGACTGGTGGATACAGAAAATTTCAACTTACCGGAGCAGAAACCCATGAAGAGAAACCTCTCTGGGAACGAGTGCCTTGGTAGAAAAATCTGAACTGTAACCATTGAAGGCTTGCTAGACGCTTAGTATGGACAAGTCTGAAAGTTAAAAATTCCAGGGAAATCCAGTCATGGGGCCAGTTCCACACTTTTGTGAATTTTATCACTAGGAGCTCCACCAGGTCCTCACAGTGAATATCAGAGAAAAATCCCCATGTGCTTCTAGCAGAGAGAGGGTGAAAATAACCTTTGTGAAATATGCCATTACCTTCTATTCTTCTTAACAAAGGCTGCCCTCAGGATAAACTATTTTACCAGAGTCTAACCGGATGGGATTTTATCAGAGTGCGAGGTAGCTGGGGGAAGGGAAATACTCAACTCTAAGCCCTGTGTAGCCATCCCATCACAGTTAGGAGGGGGGAAGAACTTAGGAGCACTGGCGAGGTTCACATTGCAGAGGCACAGGCTCCTCCAAGACCGAGACCTAATCACAGCACCATAGAGTGCGTCCTCTCTTCCCACACCTCACCACCACGTCACTGAAGGTCTACTTACACCTGCTCCTTTCCCTCAGTATACAGTGTCTGGCTATCGAGCAAAAAATTGGAAGGCACACTAAAAGGCAAAAACACAGTTTAAAGAGACTGAATAAGCATCAGAACCAGAGTCAGATATGGCAGGAATATTGGCATTATCAGGCCAGAAATTTAAAACAACTATAACTAGTTTATTCAGGAATCTAATGGGACAGCTTGATTCCAGCTTGTGCTTCTTCCAGCCCAGCATTTCTCATGATGCACTCGGTATATAAGTTCAATAAACAGGGTGACAATATACAGCCTTGACGTACTCCTTTTCCTATTTGGAACCAGTCTGTTGTTCCATGTCCAATTCTAACTGTTGCTTACTGACCTGCTTACAGGTTTCTCAAGAGGCAGGTGAGGTGGTCTGGTATTCCCATCTTCTTGGAGGAAGCACAAGCTGGAATCAAGACTGCTGGGAGAAACATCAATAACCTCAGATATACAGATGACACCATTTTATGGTAGACAGTGAAGAAGAACTAAAGAGCCTCTTGATGAAAGTGAAAGAGGAGAGTGAAAAAGTTGGCTTAAAGCTCAACATTCAGAAAACTAAGATCATGGCATCCGGTCCCATCACTTCATGACAAATAGACAAGGGAAACAGTGGACACAGTGGCTGACTTTGTTTTTCTGGGCTCCAGTATCACTGCAGATGGTGACTGCAGCCATGAAATTAAAAGATGCTTACTCCTTGGAAGGAAAGTTATGACCAATCTAGACAGCATATTAAAAAGCAGAGACATTATTTTGTCAACAAAGGTCTGTCTAGTCAAGGCTATGGTTTTTCCAGTGGTCATGTATGGATGTGAGAGTTAGACTATAAAGAAAGTTGAGTGCCAAAGAATTGATAGTTTTGAACTGTGGTGTTGGAGAAGACTCTTGAGAGTCCCATGGACTGCAAGGAGATCCAACCAGTCCATACTAAAGGAGATCAGTCCTGGGTGTTCATTGGAAGGACTGATGTTGAAGCTGAAACTCCAATACTTTGGCCACCTGATGGGAAGAGCTGATTCATTTGAAAAGACCCTGTTGCTGGGAAAGATTGAGGGCAGGAGGATAAGGGGACGACAGAGGATGTGATGGTTGGATGGCATCACCGACTCAATGGACATGAGTTTGAGTAAACTCTGGGAGTTGGTGATGGACTGGGAGGCCTGGCGTGCTGCGGTTCATGGGGTCTCAAAGAGTCAGACACGACTGAGTGACTGAACTGAATGGGACAGCTAGACAACACATGAGAACAGACAGATAATGTAACAGAGGGATGGAAATCTTATGAAAGAAGCAAAGAGAAATGCTAGTGATCAAACCACTGTAACAGAAATGAAAAATGGCTTTGATGGGGCCATTAGACTCCATACACCTGAGGGAAGAATCTTTGAGCTTGAGGATATCTCAATGAAAACTTCGAAACTGAAAAGCAAAGTGAAAAAAAGACTGAAGAAAACAGGACAGAATAACCAGAAAGTGTGAGACATCTACAAAACATCTAATGTATGCATAATGGGAATACCAGAGGAGAAGAGAAAAAGGAACAGAAGCAATATTTGATGTGATAATGACTGAGGATTCCCCCCAAATTAATGTCAGACACCAAACCACAGTTGCAGAGAGTGCAGAGAATACCAAGCAGAATTTTTATGATAAAAACAAAAATTAAAAAAACCCACTACATCTAAGCCTGTTATATTCAGACATTAGAAAATCAAAGATAAACAAAGAATCTTGAAAGAAGCCAAAAGGGAAAAACACCTTATCTACAGGGAAGTAAAGATAAGATTTACATCCACTTTCTCAGAAACCATGCAAACAAGAAGAGAGTGAATGAAATATTTAAAGCATTGAGAGAAAAACCACGAATCCAGAATTCTGTAGCATGTGAAACCATCCTTTAATAGTGAAATAGACATAAAGACTTTCTCAAACAAATAAAAATTGAGGAAATATTTTTTGCAAGTCGATATGCTATGTAAGAGATGTTAAATTCTTCACAGAGAAGAAAGTGATATAGGCCAGTAACTAGGCTCCAGATAAAGAAAGAAATAGCATCAGATAAGGAATAAATGAAGATACCTTTGAACTAAATACTGAACAAAATTGATTCCTGGACCACTGAGAACCTCTGGCTTGACCCTTCTGTGAAAGGACAACCAGAGACCAGGAAGAGAATGGTAGACTTCTTAAATCCCTGTGTAGACTATATGAATGTTTGACCACTCATGTCTAGCTTCTGGATCTACCCTGGGTCCACTCTACTCTCTACTTCAGTCTGTGAGTTCCTGTCTCAGAAAATCGCTGAACTGAAGAGCCAACAGAGTCAGAAATATGCCTTCCACAACTTTCAAATGCCCCAAGTCATCTTTAACCAGGATGGCTGCTCAGACTTACAAAGGCTTTCCAGGGACACTTTCTAATCACTGGAGGAAGGAGATATGTCTCTGGATGATGAAAAGTTAATCTTAAGACTTTCAGAAGCTATTAGTCATTTTCTGTCTCAGCAGAACCTCATGAAATCCCTCTTATTGGTACCTGG